GCGGGGAACTCTGCAAAAAACGCATCTTCGCACGGGCAGCCCGTGCGTTGGCCAATTTTTAGTTCTTAGTGTACTGGAGCCTGTAATTTAAAGCAAAAAAAGCAAAAGCAAACAAGAACTGAGCTTATACGAGCAGGAATTGTCTTACAAAAGCCCGCCTTCAGTAAGCGGTTCCAGCATTTATGAGGTTTATGCTTAGGTGAAGCTAAGGGCAAATAAGCTCGACAGGACTTACTGAAGCTTATGCTTAGGTGAAGCTGGGGACAAATAAGTTCGATTAGATTTATACAAGAATTGCAGACAATTCCACAGTGTTGCATTCTGTAGCCCGCAATTGTACACAACAGTTATACTTCTGTTTTTTGTCTTCAAAATCTGACAGAAGCAAAGGCTGACTTCATCCCCAGGCATCTATTCCACTCTGTTTTTACCCACTTCATGGAACTTGTTTGCTCTCAGCTTTACCTAAAGCATCAGTTTTATAAATAGGAAAGTCTGATGACAAGTTTTTAAGGAATAGCTTTACCTAAGCATGTTTCATAAAAAGAGAATTCCTCCACTGATGACGGGTTTTTATGGACAGTTTCCACTAGCAAATTCTCAGTTTTGTTTGCGTTTGTTCATAAAGTCAGATTTGCTTTAATTTACTTTTATTTGTGGTTGTCTTTTCCTCTTTACCGCTATCTCCAATTCTTTTATCGAGCTCCCGACTTGTATCTTTGTTCCCCTTCTCTACTCTGTCTCCAAATCCTGCCCGCAAACAACATCTAGGCCCCACTTCATCCCTACTATAACAGAACTGTTCAAGCAGGCAGTATTTCACCTTTCCTCACCCCAAGTATCTGCGGTAAAAGTCAGAAGTACACTTCCCCATCCTTTCCGTTTATCATCGTTTCTCTCTCCCCTCCAAATGTACGTTATTTAGTCAGCTGACAATCTACATCATTTAATCCCTATGCCTACCTGTCCCAACCCCCCTCTCCTGTCTCGAACGATGTTCGCCACAAACCATCTCCACTCCCACCTGCCGCATTCAAACTGCCGCCATCCGCCATGTGGTAGCCCTAACAGCCGTCGGTAGAAAAAATTTTTTGCAGCTCTTGTAGGAAACGGGCCGGGCTGAGCTGAGCTGAGTTTTTGTAATTGTCGTTTTTTACATGAACTCTGGTCGTTTCCCCGGTGAATGACGGTTCATCGAAAAAATGCAAATTTGAAGGAAGTCACAAAAGAATTACAAAATCCGCAAAATGCACCTGCTTTTAAATTTGGGATAAAATTAAATATTTTTCATGTTCACCTGCAGAGAATTTCACCTCCACGCTGAATTTAAAACAAAGTAGTGTATTCTTGCAAAATTTCAGCTTCGCAGCTTGTTCGGTATGCGAAATAGCCGCTTCGCTGCAAATATCTTTGAAGTGCCCCTAGTCGTGGCGCAAGTGTAAATCGAAAATCAGCTTAGGTATACGATTTTCCATATGAGCGATAAATATTCTGACAAAATTCCAGCCAATGTTTTCTAGTTAGTTTTCGAGTTAACACAGTGCCAAATGCGAACTTTTGACGTGACCGTAAAGCTACAACTGAATGTAAAATCTGTAACTCATGCACTAGGGAAATCCCTGCAAGGTTCGAGCTTTCTTCTTGTCTGACTCACGAAATCGTTTTCTGCCAGACAAATTTACATGTTTTTTCGGGGGTCCACAAGCGATATTTACGCGATGATTCTTTAAATGGGAAAGCGACGTGTGGGGTGGGTGTCACCAAAATTTCAGCTTCCCAGTTTTTCTGTTGCTGAGTTGAAAGTGGATGGCAGAATTCACTCGCTTCCGAACATACACACACCTACACATACAGATGACCTTTCTACAATATGCCTTTTTGCTCACTGTAGCAGCGCTACAGCACTGTACAACAAAAACGCATGAAAAATCAAACCAAACATTGCCTAGAATTATGAAAGCTCACCAATTTGTCCCTACTCTCCCTCTAAAAAATTCTCGGAGTAACACTGCAAATGGCTAGCACTGCTACCAGTAACGAACGCCAATTTTTTTGGGGTTTGTAGAACAATCAGTTTTTGAAAACATTTGAAAATTGCAGCTAATCCATTATCCTAACAGCTGCTAACAAACTTGTAGGCTTCATTAGCACATCAACTGGAACGAAAAATTTAAAAACAAAAAATCCCGTCTTGTTAAGCCCTTGTTTTTGAAATTCGAGCAAATGTCTTGTAAGATTTCATTCAGCCGGAAAATCTTTTGTCCTGAAAGTTGTTTGTAAACAAGACCTTCCTTCTCTACAGATTTCGATTAGTTTTCAAAAAGTTAGGGGTATACCTCAGATAATTTTGCTGCAATCGTCTCAATAGTACGAGACTCTTAGCGCTTCCTGCCCACTCAGAGCAAGACCCACTGGAGGCCAAATGTCATGAAAACAGCTGGGAGGCCACCGATGCACTGCGGATCCGCTAAATCGAATGTTTGGTATGCAGT